AGATTACTTATTTAATTTTTATATTATTTGCTTATTATAAACTAGATCTATAAAGTATTCCGGATTATAAAGAGCTACCCGATTTATATATTAGTAAAGCCTATAGTAGTTCTAGTAATAGTTCTATAAAAGGCATATCTATTTCTTATTAAGACTCAGAATATTAGTAGCTTAGTAAATAAGCTATTCAAGAAACTAAGCCATTTACTATAGATCCCGAGAATAACTAGTTTGAAGTTAAGCGAGTTATAAATAATTAAGTTATTCTAGTTAGTTGAGGGAAATACAAGAAAATAATTACCTAATATTAGGTTAAGTAGAAAGGATATTCAGAAGATAATAATAGCTGGATTAATAAGGCTAATATATATAAGGATCTTATTAAGGCTTATATAGCAGGAAAGAGCTCAGATTAAAGTTATATTATATATAAGATTACTTAAAAGTATTCTTTGGTTATTCTAGTACTCTTTTATTCTATTTTATATATATATAGTTATATTCTCTATCTTTCTTTGAAAATTAATCGACTAATAAATTACTCCGGCTTAGGCTTTAATACTCTAGTTAGTAAGATTCAAACAGGTCTTATTCTTTTAAGAAATAGATTATTTCTTGCCTTAGTATAACCAGAGATCTTCTTCCTGCCTATATTCTGGCTTTTATCTATATTTATATATATATAGACAGGAGTAATTTATTTATGGCTGTAATACTCAGGCCAATTAAACCCGGGAATTTCCCTGTAAAGGAGAGGCTATAGTATAGCTGCGATTAGTCAAATCCTAATAAGGCTACCTGCTTAATACCCAAGCTTGGATTCCTATCTAATAGACTGCGCTTTTCCCATATTAGGCTCTTCTATAATATATAATAAAAATTTTGCAATATATTAGGGAAGGGTAGTTAGAGCGAAAACTGTTAGTAGTAGCGGGGGATCGGGATTCGTAGATATATTTGAGATATCCCAGCTATAGTAGCCTTAAAAGAGGGCGACTTACTATTAGTAATATTACGAAATTGGCCATTAAACGGAATAGTAGAATTACTATTAGCCGGGAGCTCTATATATAGCAGTAATATCCCTTTAAAAAAAAATATTATAAGATACCAGATATTGGAATATAGTATACTGTTTTAACTTTCCCGGTATTATAATATGAGTTAAGGGATCTGTTATACTTAACTACTTCTACTATTCCCATTAATACCTGTCTCTTCACTCTCATAATTCGCAGCCCAGTTATTAATAATCTTTCCCACCTCTTTAAGCGCCACTGGCTTCGTTATAAAAAGGTCGATCCCAACTCTAACTGCCTCTATTTAATCTTTAATACTAGAGCGCCTAGTAAAACCAATAATTAGGCCGGATTTGGAATGCCCTTAGTATATAATTATACTATAGATAAAGCCTCTAAACTATTATACTATCTATACCCAGGTCTCTCTTACTAAGCCCTATAGACTCTATAGCACTCTTTTTTCTCTTCTCCTTAACGGGACAAATCTGTCTCGTAATACCGAATCCGTTAAGAATTAATACGGTAATATCTCTAAATTTAATATTATAACCCTCTTATCGAGCTTTAATCCTATATACCGCCTTAAGCCTATTCTGAGCCTAGAGTACCCGTGCCTTTAATCTCCTACCGAGTTATAATAGCGAGCTCCTGATATGCGGACTCAGTATACCTTCCATTATGCTTATCTATTAAGTCAAGTCCTCGCATATCTCCCGGAGAATCCCTTTTATTCGAGGGTAGAGCCTTTTATCTGCCTATTCGTACGGCCTGTCTCTCGGGAAGATAATCTTCCGTAGCTTATTTACTTATAGAATAAGCGGCTCGAAATGTTCACGCCCGTTCGTTAATACGAGCGGTTTACTAATCGGGCGCTACGATTGGTCAATCGGCCTTCCGATTAATTAATTATAGCTCCCATTAATTAATAGGAAATGGAATACGATTTGCAAGCCACAGTGGGTCCCGATTGATTAATCGAATGGCCGATTAATTAATCGGGTAATATTGAGGTCTCGGGAATAGCAAAAGCTTTACTATATATGCCTCCTACTATGTCTAGGCGCTCCTATAGCTACCCTAGCCCTTTTTGGTGCCCTCCCCTCTACTTAATTACCTGATTCTCCTCCTTCTCTAGCTCCATTCTCACGTGCTTGCTCCTTAGCTACTCTCTTCTTTGCTCTCTCAGATACTCTTCCAGCCTTCTGAACTAATGTAATTAAACTACGATTATTCTCCTTTGCTACCGCTTTAGGGAGGGTGATTTTATCCCTCTTGTAGATTGCACTAGTAGTAGGTAAATCAGGATAAGTTGATTAGGAGGTGATTTTATTGAGGGCACTATATGGCCAGAGAGTAGTAAGCTCGCCATACTTAGTAGCTAAGCGGTAGCCCTATTTTAATTAGCTTTTATTAAAAGTAAGGCTTATAAACCATATACCTTTGGAGTCTTTTCCAGAACTCTTACTAGAATTCTAGCTATTTCCGTACTAAATCTGTATTACTTTGGGATCTGGAGGGTTGTAATCTCTTGAATATTATATTTAAGAGCTTTGGAATTCGCTCTCTTTACTATATTCTCCTTCTATTTTCTTATATGCTCCGTAATCCTCCTAGTTAGCTCAGATAAAATCATCTCCTCAGCTACTTTCTCCTGTTCTGCTTCCTTATCCACGAAAAAGCTATTCTCTCTATCTTCTCTATCCTCTCCATTCTCTCTATTCTCTCTATCCTCTCTATCCTCTCCAGAAGCGCTACTCTCAGTAGTACCTTCCATAGGCCCTATGGCCCCTAGGGCCGTACGTATACGGCGAGTACTCTCCTTATGGTCTAGGAAATTAGTAGGTGGCTTTTGTCTAAACCAGACCTCGTATAGTATATTTCCCTTAGGAAAAGCTGGTATAGCTATGGTATTAATTACCTATATAATTAAAGGAAGTAACTATATCTACGATTAGATACCAGTATCCGCTCGTACGGCCCGTAGTCGTTTTTTGAAGATTTAATTAGCTACTTTAATAGAGCCCTGAGATTGAGGATAATAAGCTCGTTCGCAAATAATCTTTATCTCTCTCTTCTTATAAATCTTAATTACTTTTCCCTTAAACTTACCCCTATTATTACAGGCTAAAATAGAAATATATCCATTATTATTTAGCCATTTAATAAGCTCGTCCGTAGCTTCGTCCGCAGTCTTAGCCTTAAGCCTACGGATCTATACGAACTTGGAAAAGTGGCATTTCAATTGCCAGATCCACATATATTCTCCGTCCCGATCATGCTATAATAGTATTAGTAATAGTAATACTATAGTATTAATGAAGTATAGATAAAAAGGTTCGAAATTTACGAAAATTGCAGGAATCGCGAAAATTGCAGGAATCGCAAAAATCGCAGGAAAAGCTTAAAAACGTACGAAACGTACGAAATACACGAAATGCAGGAAATACAAGAAATACAGGAAATGCAGGAAATGCAGGAAATACAGGAAATATAGGAATATAGGGGTAAATTATATAACTTAAGGGATACTTATACGAAAATCCATTAAATCCAGAACCATACGCTCGCCAGGATAATGAGATTAGATAGGTATAATCCCCTTAGGATTCTTCTGAGCCTTTTCCTTATTATAGTAAGTATAGCGGGCACTTATCCAAGCGTGGTCGTTACGGAATAGGCCATACCAAATACGTCTTGTATACTCAAATATAGTATTAAAGGCTATTATATAGGTTATTAGTATAAAAATTAGTAAATTTAAAGGGTACTTACCTATATGTATTAATTTCTTATAAATAGTAGTTAAAACCTCAAAGGCATTATTATAGTAAAGGGTATACCGGGCTGGAATAATCTCATTATAGCGGGTATTATAGTATTTTTTATAATATATCTAATTATCCTAAAGCTCGTATAATTAGGATTCGTACTTAATATTAGCCTAGTAGCGCTTTTTTGCTTTTATTTTACTAGGGAGTAAAGTATTAGGATTTTGTAATTACTATCTAATATCTATATGTTTCCTAGTAATAAGAATTTTCCTACTACCGCCCTTAGCAAGCCTTTAATCCCATATAGCTTCGTTTTTAGCGGACTAATTATTAATAGGGTCTTTAGTAATAGGGGAGGGCAAAAACTGAGTACTAGAGGAATGTATTCCTGGTATAGTAATATCAAAATATTACTTTATTCGGCCATAGATATGTTAACGAGGTATACGTAGGGCTGGAGATAAATAAAGGGTTAAAAGAGATATATTAGAAATAAGGTAATTAATTAGGAGGTATATAGAATTAGTAATTATACTTGGAAAGTAGGTGCTTATACTGTGAACTATATACTATGAACTGTGTCTAGGTAGTAAAAAGGGAGTAGAGGTCCTATATATATCTAGAAGCTCTAGAGAAGTGTCTTTACCCCTATTATATACTGAGAACTAAAGGGTTTCAGCTATTAGTCTTGAGGATATATTATTACATACTGAGAACTAAAGGGTTTCAGTGCCATTAGTCTTGAGGATATATTATTACATACTGAGAACTAAAGGGTTTCAGTTATTAGTCTTGAGGATATATTATTACATACTGAGAACTAAAGGGTTTCAGTCATTAGTCTTGAGGATATATTATTATATACTGAGAACTAAAGGGTTTCAGCCTCCTTAGTCCCGAAACCCTAATATTATGTGATTAATTAATCGGCCATTCGATTAATTAATCGGCCCCCTTATTAATTAATCGGGATCTACTATGGCTTGCGAATCGTATTCCATTTCCTATTAATCAATGGGAGCTACGATTGATTAATCGGAAGGCCGATTGACTAATCGTAGCGCCTGATTGGTAAACCGCTCGTATTGATGAACGGGCGTGAACAGAAATAAGAAGTGAAATTATCGGTGATTATCTTCATAAAAATTGCCTCCTTTACCACAGTGCCTAATTTCAGTTTGGCCAACTCTTCCATATCTACGTAGTTCTACTTATCGAATTGTGGAATAACCCTTTTCTGATTTAGTCCATTATAGTGAATACAGGTCCTGAAAAGCACCCATAATATTGACTCGAGGTCATGCATAAATGAATGCTGCTCGCCAAGGAGGGCCCCGATGGCCATGAGAGCCCTCGTGCCAGTTTTGCCTCTGGCACCGGAAGCCTCCCTCCGTGTTTCTTTGATCCCAAGGTCGAGGTCGATCAAGAACGAAGGCCAGGAAGGGTTCCCGTGAGAAGAAGCATGAGGCACACCGGAGTAGCCCTTGTTGGAAGAAAGAGACGAGTTTCGTGGACAGGGCTTTGGGGTTGGAAGCCAATGATGCTGAACGAGTTTTGGGAATGAGAGTCATTGATGTGCAAAAGAAGTGCATAATTAACTACGATTGGGATTGGATGGGACCATATTACGCTTTAAGTTACGTTTGGGGAACTCGTCCTTTCCTGACATTGAATAAGGCAAACGAATCAGACTTGAGGAAAGAAGGCTCGCTCTCTCAAAGGTTGCTTCCAGATACCATCGCTGACGCGATGGAGCTCGTGGACAATATGGATGAGCATTATCTTTGGGTGGACAGCCTGTGCATTCTCCAAGACGATGACGCCGATCAAAAGCGCTTCATCAACCGCATGAGAACCATCTACCGGGCGGCGGATATGACAATTATAGCGCTCTGCGGCGAAGATGCCTATGCTGGTCTACCAGGAGTCCGAGAAGATAGACCACGGATCCGTCAACAAGAGATTGAAATTAAAGGGATCTCAATGCTCCCCGTAATGATACCAACAGGCTGGGCCGATGCATACAAACTCGGAGAAACTAGATGGACGACCTGAGCGTGGACGCATCAGGAGACGTTACTTTCCCGTCGTCGACTCATTTTTGGGAGAGAACAAGCCTATTTCATCTGTGGCCAATCCATCCTATGCGAGGATGTTGTCGGCCCTGACTTCTCACCCTTCATGGACACATTTGTAATGCTACAACTCGATGCTTTGATCCGACCCTACAGCGGCAGTCTACAGACACACTTCCAGAATATCCTTACTGAGTACACGAAGAGACAACTAACACAAAGAGACAACTAACACAAAGAGACAACTAACACAAAGAGACAACTAACACAAAGAGACAACTAACACAAAGAGACAACTAACACAAAGAGACAACTAACACAAAGAAAAGACAGGCTGAATGGAATTTCGGGAATCCTTGAGGAAGTGTCGAAGATTGGTGGGCCATTTTTCCAAGGGATCCCACTTTCCAGTTTCAGCAATGCCCTTCTATGGGACAGAGATTTTTTTTGGTCCGGATTCCCGCAAATTATAGATGAGAGAAGCTGTCAGGAAGAGAGGGAGCTCCGGGTTCCAGGTTTGCCAAGCTGGTCGTGGGCTGGATGGATGGGGGAGATCCGTTTTGCGAAGGATTTTGATGATGTGCCGGCGAATGGGCGACTAAGATTCTATGGGTTTATTCCTGATGGAGGGCTTATAGAACTGGAGACTCCCGAGCTTAAGCATGCACAGACAGAAGCCTGGGGATCATTCTCAGGGGATACGGGGCCGCCACAAGCTGTTTTACCAAAGGAGTTCTGGGACTTTGAGCGCACTGAGGTGAAGCTGGAAGATCTGTCTTCTTTAGTCCCTAAAACACCACTCCTTTGCTTCTGGACAAGCACTGCGACCATCGAACTCCAAGCTATAGAGAGGGAAAATTGTTTCAAGACAAGGACAGGGAAGACTGTCAGTCTCGGATTCCGGGTTTTCGTGCCGTCTGGAGAAGTAAAGAAGCTCGAGTTGGTCGTGCTAGGCGACCAGTCTTACATTCAGATCGATGGCACGCCAGCTGTGGCTACTGTTGCGATCAGGTGGGATTGCGGCATTGCGTATAGAGAACCTTTTGGGTTGGAAACAATTGCATATCGCGGTTGGAAAGAAATTGAGGGTAGGTGTTGGAAAAGAATCGTGATGGGGTAGAGCAAAAGAAGAATGGAGATTCATCCGCGCTTCGAAGTAGACCAATGATAACAGATACATTAACTAAACCCAAACCTTTAACCACACCCAGAAACAACGTTCTCCACAAACGGCTCCTTGATGATTCTAGGAACCCATATATGAATACCCTCAACCCATTGAATGCCCAGAGATTACGATGCCAGAGATCGAGAAAGCAGTGCGCCGAGCTGCCCCAAACAAGGCACCAGGTACAGACAACATCACAAACGGCATTCTGCATCAGACCCTGGACACCCTCCTCCCACACCTCCACAAGCTCTTCAACGCATGCCTCCAGTATGGATACTGTCCTAAACACTTCAGGGAGGCTATCACAGTAGTTCTCCGGAAGCCAGGAAAAGATGACTATACACAATCCAAGTCATACAGGCCGATTGCCCTCCTCAATACGCTAGGGAAAGCACTAGAAGCGGTAATCGCCAACCGACTCACTTACCTTACTGGCATCCACCACCTCCTCCCAAGCCGACATACAGGAGGTCGAAAGCTTGCATCAACAGATCATGCTTTACCCCTTCTTCTCCAACGAATACACGAAGCCTGAGCTGATGGGAAGGTGGCTTCATTACTCTTACTCGACGTCTCAGGAGCCTTTGATAACGTCTCTCGACCACGGCTGCTACACAACTTAAGGAAGCGCAGAGTAGATCAAATGCTCGTGAGGTGGATCGACTCCTTTCTAAGTGTCCGATCTACTACACTTGGATCTCTCGAAAACCCAGATGATTTGAGGGATTTTGTATTGGGATTTACGCAAGGGAATGCATCATTCGATTTCATCGATGTCGGACACGGAAAGGAAAGGGCTGATTCAAAGATCAAAGGTATACCTGATACTCCTGCTGGAAGATCCGGACTAATTTCTCCAGAATGCATGTGCTGGCACCTTCGAAACCACAACTGTAAACAGATTCTCCTGGGTATATCTCACGATGCAGGCTACGCACCCTTTCTCGACGAAGTAGTGACCCAAGACGACCACTACCGAATCACCATAGTCGAAGGCCCGCGCACTATCCGCGAGCTCACCGCCACCGGTCTCCAAATCTTGAATTTCAACAACATATTCCGTACCGAAAAACTCGTCGATCGTTTAGTTCCCTCTCCCACGCCACCTTCCACCTGGGCAGGGGTGACATCTATTACTCCTCCGCCTCCAACCGCCTCTTCTGTATCAGTCAAAAATGGAACAATAACCACGATCAACAAGAAACCAACTCCAACTCCCGCTTCAGCAAAACCAGCCTGGGTCCCTGGCCTCCGTAGTCTTGACCCCCCCATCACTATAAACGCCACCGTCCTTGACAAAATCAAGCGGCGCACATTCAACAAGCTCTGCAATAACCATTATCTGCGTGGTCCTTGTGCAAAAAGGGATGGATGCTGTTTCGAACACCAGTATAGAGCCACTAAAGAGGATTTGAAGGCCATTGCGTATCTGACGAGATTGAACCCTTGCCTGAATGGCCAGGATTGCGAGTTAGAGTTTTGTATTTATGGACATCATTGTCCGAGTGTTACATTAGGCACAAATGGAAGGGAACCGGTTTGTAATGCGTTTGGATGCAAGTTTGGAAAGGAGGACCATCCGCCTGGGACCGTCATCAAGCATCCGCGGAAGGAGAGGTGGGAGAAAGACTATGCGCCGGGGATTATCTCATGTCTCCCCATGAGTTGGAAACTTCGAAAACGCAAGCATTGCCTCAACCTTCCCCACTTGACGGGTCATCGCAGCTATCCGCTCTGCCAGAAACAGCAAGTCAAAGCAAAGATGTACAACAACCTGTCAACGACGAACGAGAGCGTAAAGTTAAGCTCTTGACAAATAGAATGAGCAGTATTCGAGAGGAGAAGGAGAGGCTTGAAAGGATTCAGGAGCTAAAAGACCTCGAAGAGCAGACGAAGAGGGACATTCTCGCTGCATGGAAAGAAAATGGGGAAGGGAGCTAAATTGGCTACCTCAAATATAACTTATAATACCGAGCGGGCAGCTTTAATAGCGAACGAATATGCCTATATATAAGGAGAATTTGAACTACTCTTTCGAGACGGGCTAGTAGAATAGCGTCTATAAAAGTGCAGGAGGAAGCAATCCCACTAGGCCAGATCACCTGCCATATTACAGGCGATGTGGGGTGGTTCCGGTACGAAGTTAGTACTAATTTATTTGCTCACTCCCAGTAGGGACTTCTCTATCTACTACATCAACTCTTGCCTGCGAAGATTCTCCAACGTGGCGAGAAGCCATTCAAAAATTCGAGTGTTCTCCGATGAATGCCCTATCCCCTTTGATTTTGACAAGTGAGATCAGGAAAGCAATAGACAAGAGCCGTAATCCTTCAGCATCTGTCCAACGACGACAAACCCTCCTATGGCGCCAGCGCAGAACATCAATGAAATTAGAAATACCACTGCAGCTTTAGCCCTGTCTTCTTCAGCCTTTGCCAGATCCTCTGCTCGAAGCATAGCTCTTCTGCTGAATTTAAACTTCTCAGTCGCTCTGTCCTTCGCAATTTCCGCTTCGATCTGGTAGTCCTTATACTCGTGATATAGGGCATCCGACTTAGTTTGAAGAGTTTGAATAGTTTGAAGAGCACTCGACGGCTCCTTCGCCGCTTTGATATTTTGCTGAAGTGTGATTATCCATTTCTTATCCAGAGAGTCGCGCGCATCATACAACATTTGTAATTGTGAGTCAGTTTTGGTCACCGCCGCAGAACGTTGACTATCGAACTCGTGTTGTGCCTTTTCGAGGTCTTCCTTGCGCTCCTCGAGTACTTCTCGAGCCTCCTTAGCATCTTCTGCAACTTTGTCAGCCACCCTTTTAGTCTCGTTGGCTATCCCCACGGTCGCTTGAGCTGCTTCCATGGCCTCATCGGCGTCCTTCTTTGCGGCCTCGGCAGTTTGCCTTGCTCTGCGAGCCTCGTTCCACGCCTTCTGACTAAAAGACCCCTTGATAATCTCCACCATCTCGTGGAAAGTGAAGCCGATAAATGGAATAGTCGCTCCAATGAGAACACCAGATGCAAGCCAAAACATAGTGAGCACACGCTCAGCTTCCGTGCTCTCAGCAGCATGGAACTGTGTCAAGCTACCAATAACCGCATAAGGTATCGTGCCTAATAAGATCATGAAACCCCACCAAAGAAATGATGCCCGGCGTAATGGTTTTGGGCCGCGATATGGCTGCTCGCCGTCCATGGTCTTGAAGGGAGAGCACTCGGCGAGGTATGTCTTCGCGTGCCCATCCTTATGTGAAAGGGACCAGCGATCAAGACCCATAAAATAGTCCTTAGAATCTTCGCCCCAACCCACTGGGACAACTTTCCCGATAACTCCATCGATTACCGTATCTTGCTTAAGCCGAGCTTCCTCCAGTTCGGCTGAACCTACCAAGTACAAAGCGGGGTAGTCTGGCGTCGACACATTTCCCAACAAGTTGAGAAAGGACATGATGATGTACGGAATAACGGTTAGACCGAATGCCGCATAGCCGTATCGATTCAGTTGATCGCCTCGAGTTTTGTATAATGTGTACGATGCATAGAGCACCTGGAAAATGGCAACCATCGATTGTGGGATGCTGGCTGACGAGGAGAGGGTAATCTCTTGCTGATAGCCTTCTTTGTGCGGTTTGCTGGGAACTACTTCTGCATTGGAGGGTAATATTGCTAAGCTATAACCCTCAGAGAGCTTGGATAGTCCGTGAATCTTCCGAGCAGTAGGACTGATATATTCTAGGTGGTGTTTGGACTGATCGATAGTTTGCTTCACTCTTTCGATCGATAGGCCACGGCCATCCCAGTACTCGTTCCGAACAACGATACAGAGAGCTCCAGCTCGGGCAGCTGTTTGTAGGTCACCACAGACGGATTTCTGTCCCCAAGAGAATGATGCATGTCGAGCGATGGCCTGGAGACCTCTAGCAATTCCTGAAAAAGGGAAAGCAATTGCCAGAAACACAGCAAACGCAAGGTCGGTCGTGCTCTCCCCAGGAAGTGCCTTCACAGTTGCTGCATGGGCGAAGTAATTCGCAAGATAGAAGGTGAAGATATCGAACCATTTCGTAGGCGTACACAATAGATTTGGATCACCATGATCGGATGTCCCAGCCGGAACTGATATGGTAACATTGATGTTGGGTGAGGCTGTGGGGAGTCCTTCAACGATGGTGCAGAGATATATTATGATTGGGAATGCGAATACCCAGGTCCTTGAAGAATTCATGGTATTCAGCAGGAATTGGAAAGGTAGTGAAAAGTCACAATCCAGGACGGTAATGGTACGTCGGCATCCGTTGACGTACAAGTTGTGGAGGTTTGTATAATGAAAAAGCTGAAGGGCTGGGGAGTACCGTGCTGCTCATTAGAAAAATGCTATTGTGGCGCTGCACGATGCCAGGTCGCATTCTCAAAAGGTGATCCGAGCTCGCCAGGGAAAAGCGTCGAGTTGGTGATTTGTCGTAGAGTTTGTGGCCAATGAAGTGGTGGGCGATAGCGATATGCGAGAGGCGAAGTAAAAGACACACATGTACATCCGTGGCCCGCGGCTGTGGAAAGCAGTTGGGGGAATGAAGTAACGGAATGAATGGGAGAGGAGGCCAGATGGCGGTGCCCAGCTGGCAAAATAGCTGCCACGTAGCAGCGCCTCAACACCCACAGCGGCACCGCTTGTTTTAGAGCATAAAAACAAACAATAATGTATCCAGTCGAGCAAAAGCAATTCTATGGTGTGGAGGCTAGTGGAGTGAGGATTGGCTCAGAAGGATACAGTAGATGAACCTCTCGGGCTAAATCTCCCGATCAATTTTTGAGGTTGGGATTTGTTCACAAGAGAGTCCCCTGCAAAATCAATGGCTTCGCCTGGGGGCTGGGCAGCTGAACATTTTGAATTATTTGTCTCCCTTATCACCACCCCTCCGTATCCTGGTAGCCTGATCTCTTTATAGCCCTACGTGACGTCCCTTCGGTAGAAGGTTTCACTGGCCAACCGCCCAAACTACTCAACCGCCCAAAAATTAAAATCTTAATATTTAATTAACGCCTTAATAAAATTTTAATTCCTATTAAATACTAATACTTTATAGTATTCTCGACCCCCTAATGGCTATATATTACTTTAAAATTATATAGTATTACTAAAATTATTAATTTAGTAGCATTTTTGGCATTTTCTACTAATTTTTACCCTACTATCTCTATCCCTTACTAATTTCTATATAATTAATTAAATATCTTATATAATATTCTAAATTCTTTAGTAATATATAGCTTAATATAAGAGAGTACATTAGAAGGTTTTTTGTATTATTATAATAATATTTCTTATTAAATTTTTTTTGGGATAAGAATTAGTAACTTGCGTTTAGTAGGGTAATAAGCCTAAATTTAAGTACCTAATTCTTGGAATAAAGAATCGCTTATATTACTTAAATATTTAATTATAATTTAGGTACTATTCGATTTTTCGATTATAAAAGCTCAAATATTAATTGAATTCGCTATTATATAGTAAATCTTATACCTTCTTCTAATTAGCCAGAGCCTTTATAAGAACTTTATTATAAAATAGCCTTCTTTTACTTCTTCTTTCTTTAGTAGTAATAATTTCTAGAGGCTCAATTACCTTATTAACTAGCTCCTTTATTCTTTTTGTTCTCTGTCTTATAGTCTTCTTAGGAAATTATTATTTTAAAGGTAAGGGAATAGTTAATTGAGTAAAAGGGAGAAGTATAGTTAATTAAGGCTTTATTAATAATTAAGGAATATTGGGAAAATCGATTTCTGGAAATATATATATAATCGGAGGGCTTTTAGGAGAAGCTTTTATCTTACTAGCTTTTAGTATTCTTAAAGCTTTTAATGGTTTTAGTAGCTTTAATAATCGAATTATAAGAGTATTAAAATTATTAATTTCTTAAAGTAAATTAGGGCCCTATTTTCGAAAATTATTAAAGATATAATTATAAAATGCCTTCTATAATTTATATAAAGCCTTTAGTTTCTTTTTCTTTATAAGCTTCTTCTCTATCTTCTTTTTCTTAATTACCTTTACTTCAAGTATCTTTTCTATTAATTTAATATTTATTACTCTTATATTTATAATTTTATCTTTATTCTTTTTTAATATCTTTTTTCGGTTCTTATACTTATTAGCTATATTAATTAGCTCTTTATTAATTACTTAAGAGAGAGTAGTCTCAGTAATTACTATAGTAGCTAAATTTATAAGCTTTTAGACTATAAGCTAAAGATCTTGGAAATGCCTTTATATATTAATTTGGGAGACTTAAATTATTAATTAATAGGCAAGAACTCTATTAAGCTTATTATTAATTTCTTTATTAACTTTGAAAATAGCTTTAATATTAGTAATATTCTCTAGAGTTATAATAATTAAAGAAGCTAGATTACTAGATATAGTTAGTCGACTAGATAAAGTAAGAGAATAAGAAATAGGAAGAGAAAGAAATATAAGAGCCTTTTATATATTTTCTTCTTTTTATAAAATTACTATAGGTAGTATACTAATAATAATTTCGGAATTAAATAGAAAAAGGCTATACTTTCTCTAAGAGGAAGTAATATTATAGTAGTTAAGAGTATTTACTTATACTAATTATAATATTTCTAGGAATTTGAGCTTATTAATAGAATATTTTATATCCTAATAAGTCTTTTCCGTAAGATATATATAATATGAGTATACTAGGGGCCCAAAGACTCCTATATTATATAGTTAAAGAATATAGGTTAAATAGGCTAGGAAATAAAGGAGAATTATCTTCTTTTCTTTATAAAACCTTACTATTTCTGGTATTATATAAGAACTATAGCTATTAAAAAGAAGTATTCTATACTTTTTCTTTTTAATTTTAATATCTCTAGTTCAAATACCTCTTTAAATTACTTGATATAAAGCTTATTATTTATCTAATTCTTCTTAGAGATATAAATATACCCGGTAAGTAATACCTTAATCTAATTCTTAAAAAGAACCTTGGCTTTAAAAATAATATATAGACTAAGAACTTATTTATTTAAAGATATATATTTAATTAATGAAACCTATTCTTGACTGCCTTATTATATAATCTTGGAAGCTTTGGTTTTCCTGAAGTAAATAACCCATACTTTAGCTAGTATCCCTATTATTATCTCTTTCTTATTTATATTATAAATATTATTATTATATATATTATATTATACTTTCTTTATATAAAAGAGCTCAAAATACCTTATAATTTGCTCTAGATTCTCTATAATAATTCGATTTTTATTAAGGAATAGTATAATTCGAGATTTGAGATTAGAATAGTAGTTTAGGAAACCTTAATACTAATTTATTCTAAGAAAGTTCTCTTCTAGATCTTTTTCTTATATCTTTAGTAACTTAATTACTATTTTTTGAACCTAATAAACTATTAGGGGCTAGCCCTATACTTCTAATTTTCGAATATAATACTAAATAACTGCCTCTTACTATTACGGGTACGGCATTTAGGGCTTGGAAAGCAAGGTAGAAGGTCCCTTATAAAGACGATTCAAAGCTAAGGAAGAGAAAACTAGAATATAGGAGGCTGCGAGGGAGTATATGCACCCCATAGTGCACTAGTCCTAAAGGGGCTAGCTTTCTAAATATTTCTAGTATATTCCAAGCATATTTCCCTAGCGAGGCGGCCGCGTCACGTGCGCCTAGGAGGTATCTGGTATCTGGCGAGGTATCTCAGATACCGGGTATCTGGGAATCGTGATATTATCCCCCCCCTTCGTAATAAGCTCGTCCCCGAGCTTTATATAAGCCATTAATCCATCCAATTTCGTACTATGCTCCTTCCCAAAGTGAAACTAGTATCTCGGATATAGACATTACGTATAAAAGGCCGGCGCCTTTGCTATGTGACCTAGGAGGGTTTATTATTATTTCTATATAATTCTGGACTAGTATTATTTTTTGCATAGTCTAGCTAGTATTACAGGTTTTATAGAGGTCCTGGTATATTAATATTATTATTATGGAAACTCTATAAAACCAGGGGGCTATTACTTAGTACTAAAGCTAGATACTATACTAGATCTTTATCCTAACTAACTCACTAAATTCTATATTTTAGCCTATTTCTTACTAGCTTAATTATAATAACCCGTTTAATGCCATACTCTTATTTACTATCCTCTAGTATTAATAGAGGCAGTTCCGGGTTCGCTTAACCTAGCAGAGAATTCTGGGAGTCTTTTTATAGCTTCTTTATATAAAAAACTAGATATATCTTTATGGCTTCCGGTAGTTTTAGGAAAAATGAGTAGTTATACTATTCTAGAATCTCAAATAGGCTTTCTATTTGGTTCCCTAGCTTCCGGCTCGGATAATCGGATTTCTAGTACTTTATAGTAACTTATACTTTATTCCCTACTTTGAAATTAATTAAATAGTAGTATTTATTAGCTTATACTACATATTATTTCTATACTTGCTTTATATAGCCTTGGGCAAGTTACTATAATTCATGTAATCGATTTACTAATACTTTAGCTTTATTCCTATTTAGCTTTTCTTTAGGTGAGTTAGCTTTAATAAGGGAATTCTAGTCTAGAGAAATATAAGGCTCGTAGCCCTTTTTAGTTATAAATAGGGACTAGCTAATAATTTCGTACTAAAGAGAGGCTTATTAATAATTAATTATAGTAACCTATTTATCCTAGTTATTCTAGTAGTAATTAATATACGGGCATAATCTCTAATTAAAGTACTAATTAATAATCTCCGTTTATCTGTCCGTTTAGAGGTAATTAGCTATAGAGAGCTTAAGCTTTATACTAATTCTCATATAGAATTCACTCTAAAAATCGGATATAAATTAGGGTTCCCGATCTAATATAATTATTTCTGGAATACTTACTTGGTATATTATATAAAGTAAAAATAGAGGCACTAGCTACTTGGCTATAATTATATCTTATACGGGAATTGTAATTAGGCACTTGGATAAGTAATTCACGAATATAGTAACTATATTATAGCCTAATTTGCTTTCTAGATAGCTCTTAAAATTTATAGTAATATGCTATTAGGGGTAATTAGGAACTAGAAGGAGATAAAGTAAACCAGGCTTCTTATTTCTAGGTATATGTAATTTCCTATAAATATAATAATTACTATAGTATTAATTAATATCCTTGCCTATAAATAGCTAGTAATATTACTTCTTTAATAGCTATTAGAGCTTTATATGTCTAGGATATCTAGAAAGGGGTTTATTATATACTTTATAAATTAGAGTAGTTTATAAAAGTAATCCGGGAATTATTTCATTCTCCGTAATATAGAGTTTTCTATAATATAAAAAAAGGCTATCTTATAGTATTTAGATATTACTTTTAGCTTAGGCTATTATATATAGCTTCTCTAGATCCGGTAATATATAATTATCCTATAGGATCTTATTTATAAGTTATAAACTACTATACTTAGTAAGAGCCTCTAATAATACTTCTATAGGAGCTACTATAGTA